GCATAATCTCCCTGTTTTTGAACTCAAATCCTGTAGCAATGAAGGACAAAATGCCATTTGCCTTCTTAATTACCTGTTGCACCTGTAAACCAACTTTTTGTGATTCATGCACAAGGACACCCAGGTCCCTCTGCACAGCAACATACTGCAATTTTTTACTGTTCAAGTAATAGTCCTTTTTACTCTTATTCCTACCAAAGTAGATGACTTCACGTTTATCAGCATTGAATCCCATCTGCCAGACCTTTGTTCACTCACTTAAACTATCTATACCCGTCTGCAGACTTTCAGGATCCTCTGCACACTTTGCTATACCACTCATCTTAGTGTCATCCGCAAACTTTGCCACACTACATGTGGTCCCCAACTCTAGATCATCTTTATAAATTATAAACAATTGCAGTCCCAGCACTGATCCGTGAACCACTAGTCACTGTGTTTGCCAACCAGAAAAGCACTCATTTATCCCCACTCTTTGCTTCCTGTTAGTTAACCAATCCTCTATCCATGCTAATACATTGACCGTTATGCCGTGCACCTTTGTCTTATGCAGCAGCCTTTTGTGCAGCACCCTGTGGAATGCCTTTTGGAAATCCAGATACACCACATCTACTGGGTCTCCATTGTCCACCACGCTTGTAATGTCTTCATTGAATTCCAGCAAATTAGTCAAGCATGACCTGCCTTTCATGAACCCATGCTGCATCTGCCCAATGGGGCAGTTTCTATCTAGATGTCTTGCTATTTCTTCCTTGATGACCTGTACCTATGTACCTGCATCCTTAAGTCGCCCTGTTCTACACATTACCCTAGGCCCTACCATCAATTGTATAAGTCCTAACTTTGTTGTACCACAGTGCAATACCTCACATTTATTCAAATTGAACTCCATCTGCCATTTTTCAGCCCGTTGAACCATTCAATCAAGATCCATTTATGATCTTAGAAAACATTCTTCACTGTCTACTATGCCACCTATTTTGGTGACTTCCACAAACTTACTAAACATGCCTTCTATATTCTCATCCAAATCGTTTATATAAATGACAAACAAAAGAGGACCCAGAATCGATCCCTGTGGAACACCGCTGGTTACAGGCCTCCAGTCCGAAAAGCAACCGTCCTCCACCAGTTCCTGTCTCATGCCATTAAGCTAATTGTGCATACAATTGGCAAGCTGATCCTGAATCCAGAAGCAGTATAATGTGAATAAATGTGATCTTATCCACTTTGGCAGCAAAAAAAGGAAGGCAGATTATCATTTGAGTGGCAGCAAATTGAGAGCGGGCAATGTTTAACCAGACCTGGGTGTCCCCATGCATCAGTCACTGAAAGTAAGCATACAGGTGCAGCAGGCAGTAAAGAAAGTAAACTGTAAATTGGTCATCTTTAGCAAGAGGATTCAAGTACAGGAACAAGGATCTCTTTGTGCAATTATACAGGGCATTGGTGAAGCCTATCCTGGAATTTTGTATTGTTTGGTCTCTTTATTTAAAGAAAGATGTTCTTACTATAGAGAGAGTTCAGTGATAGTTTAACAAATTGATTCCTGGCATGGTGGGACTGACGTATGAGGAGAGATTGAGTTGATTAGGATTGTGTTCACTAGAGTTTAGAAGAATGAAGGGGGATCTCATAGAAAGCTACAAAATTCTAACAGGACTAAGCAAAGTCAATGCAGGAATGATATTCCTGATAGTGGGGCGAGTCCAGAACCAGGGGTCATAAGTTAAGGATAAGGAATAAACTTTTTAGGATTGTGATGAGGAGAAATTTCTTCACCCAGAGAGGTGAGCCTGTGGAATCCACTACTGCAGAAAGTGGCTGAGCCCAAAACATTTGTGTTTTCAAGAAGGAGGTAGGTATAACTGTTGTGGCTAAAGGGATCAAGGGATATGGAGGGGAGGTGCACAGAGTTAGGCTATTGAGCTCAATGATCAACCATGATCATGTTGAATGGCAGAGCAGGCTCGATGGGTTGAATGGCCTATTCCTGCTCCTAATTTCTTTCTTTCTATCTCGGCTCTCTTCCTCAAGTACATTCTGCAGTAACAAGTTCTCGTCTAACCATTCTTTGAAGAAAGAAATTTCTCCTGAGCTTCATTTTGGATTAGTAGTTGCTGCTGTACGCTTGAAGGTCCTACTTTCAGATTGATCCACAAGTGGAAAGATTTCTCTGTACGTGTACTCTGGTCTGACACATTTGTAAGTTTTGAATACCTGTATGAGGTCTCCTGTAAATCTTTTTCTTTTCAAAAGAGAAAAAAAACTCTATCTGTTCAGTTATTCCTGATAGCTGTAATCCCTAACGTCTGGTCCTTGTTAAAATTAGAAACAGTGGAGAAAGTTGAAATGTCCTTTTTAAGAAATGACGATCAGGGCCAGATGTTTCCTATTGTGATTTGGGTAGGAGTGGTGGGGCACCTTTACACCTGCTGTTCTGATGCAGTCCAGGTTTACTCCCTCTGATTCCTGCAAAGTAAGCAGCCAGGCTCCAGGAATTGCCAAAATCCTGCTCTCCGGCATCCTGGAGACAGAAACGGGAACACAACTCTGATTCGGTCCGGAATCCAAATTTCTGCTCACCCCCAGGAAAGTTGGGCCCCAGGGCTGTACACTGTGCTCTAACTGCAGCCTGGGATTGTGCTTGCCTTTTCCTTTTGCAATGGCTTAAAGGCAGGGGAGGGTGTGGTTTCTTCCAATGTCCTGTCTAGCATTCCTTTCTAACAAAAAAGGAGCAATTTAACAATCCATTCTTTAACAATGCTGTTGTGGGATCTTGCTGTGCATAAAATGGCTGCCCTGTTGGAAAGAAATGGCCTTGTGCACTGGATTGCGAGTCAACTGCCTCATCTTGTTTTGAAGGGTGCGGGGAGGTGCCTGTTTCATCAAGAATGATTTCTGTAGTGGAGCGTGATCTCTAGCCTGTGCAGTACTGTCTTCTTTCTGTCTTGCCTATAAAGGAACCCATCAATGAAACTTTTATTATACGAGGGAGAGAAAGAGCCTATTTATGAGACATTACTGGGGTCAAGGGATGCTTTGAAAGGATGAACGTTGTTGGATGAAAGCTCAGGGGAACATTGATTTTTCAGAGCAGTATATTTTCCTGACATGCAGTCAGTATTAACATGGTAAAAACGAACTGTGACTGTATGTTAGTGATTGATTTTATGCTGGCCCCTGAGATAAAAGCTGAGATCATAACTGTACCTATTCCAAAAGGAATAGTCAAATATTCAGGTCTTCAAAGCTGGAGTAAGGCAGGGGGACAACTATTTAACAGTCTCTTCTATCCAAGATTTCTTCCTTAAGGTTTTTTATCCCCCAAACAGACTAATTTTTGGAGAAATCTAGGAACAGAACGTAGCCATACAGCCCTTTGAGTTGTGGCTGATCTCTAAGCTCTTCTATTTGCCTTGGTCTGTAAATGCTAGTCTCCTTTTTTAAATAAGAGAAATCCATCAGTTTCGATACTTTCATTTAACTCCCCTCATCACACCAGTTTTTTTTGGTGGAGGGAGTTCCACATTTCCATTGTCACTTTATGAGACTGACGGGGAATTGTATTGTCAGCATGTGTTTGTTGTGTCTACTGTGCTGCTGATCTGATTCATCACTCATTACCATTCCAGCTGATTTTCCCCTCAATATCAGATCAATGCTTTCCCCTATTTCCTGTCCCAGCTGAGATGTGCTGACCCAGCACATGCTGACCATACTGGTTTGTATTGCTCAGTGGGCAGTGAATCATCATAGAGTCATACAGCACAGAAATGCACCATTCAGACCAACCAGTCCATGCCGACCATAATCCCAAACTAAACTAGTCCCACCTGTTTGCTCCTGGCCCATATCCTTCCAAACCTTTCCTATTCACGTACTTATCTAAGTGTCTTTTAAACATTGTAACTGTGCCCGCATCCACCACTTACTCAGGTAGTTCATTCCACTTGTGAACCGTCTTCTGTTTAAAAAAGAAATTGCCCTCGTGTCTATTTTAAATCTTTCTTCTCTTGCCTTAAAAATGTGTCCCTGGTCTTGAAATTCCCCATCCTAGGGAAAAGGCATCTACCATTAACTCTATCTATACCTGTCATGATTTTATAAATCTCTATAAGGTCACCTCTCAACCTCTTACGTTCCAGTGAAAAATGTCCCTGCCTATCCAGCCTTTCTTTATAACTCGAGCCTTCCATACCCGGCAACATTCTGGTAAGTCTCTCCTGAACCCTCTCTAGCTCTGGAGAGGGAAAGAAAGGCTTGTCTTTATATTGTGCATTTTATGACCTCATGGCAATGCCAAAGCGCTTAACAGCTAATTAAGGACTTTTGAAGTGGAGTTCCTGCTGCGATGTAGGAAATGCGGTAGCCAATTGTGCACAGCAAGATTCCATAAATAGAGCTGGCTGTATTATTGTTTTATCTGGAGCTAATGTCAAAGCTGAGCCCTGATCTTATTGAAGGGCAGAGCTGTATTCCCTACTCCTACTCCTTTTGACAATTGAGAGGCGAGTATTGGCTCAGGGCACTGGGAAGAGCTGTGCTGTTTGAAGGAGTGCCATGTTTTATTCTTCACATCCACTTGAGAGGGGCAGACATCTTGAAAAAAAGCCAGCACCTCTGACAGTGCAGCACTCACTCACTACTGCGCTGGAGTCTCAGACTTGACAGCTTAGATAATTGATAATGAAACATCTTTACTGCACACTACACAGTTCTGAGAAGGGTCACCGGACCCGAAATGTTAACCGTGTTTTCCTTCACAGATGCTACCAGACCTGCTGAGCTTTTCCAGCAGCTTTGTTATTGTTCCTGATTTACAGCATCCGCAGTTCCTTCAGTTTTTATTTCTCGCACGCTACCCTGTTATTGACCTTTCACCTTTCCAACTTCCTAATGTGTGTCAGGCAGATTGACATAACACGAGTGGGTGATTAAGGGGACTCTTGTTTGTTATGTAACTCTGAGGTCTCCTCTTGTTCTTCCTGTTGATCCAGATTCTCAAGCGAGGTTGCCACGTGAATGATAGGGATGGACTGACCGATATGACCTTGTTGCACTACGCGTGCAAGGCAGGAGCGCACGGGGTCGGTAGGTAGATGGAACGTACAGCTGTCAGAGGTCCACAGAGATCTGTGAAAGGAAATGGGGAAACGCAAGAACATTCTTGTTCCCAAACCTGACATCTGCAGCTTAAAAACAAGCTCACTCGCCCAATGCCAGCCACCCCCAAAAAATACAGCGAAGGGATAGTTCTGTGAAATCGTGGAGTGTGTGCACTGTTATGAATTCCTTAATGAAACAGAGCCGACACAACCTTAAGGAGTTTGTCGCTGCACTGAGGTGTATCCAATGACCCCCCCCCGTCCCCGCCCCCCAAAAATGACCAGCCCTACTTTTATGAAAAGTGTTGTTTCAGTCCCTGAAGGGTAATCTAAATGCTGTGGCTTCAGTTTTCATTCCCTTGTAAATTCCAGCCCATCCCAAACTCTGCTGCCAGTATGCTAACTCACACCTTCATTCAAACAACTTCTTCTGTGTCCACTAACCAAATTGGTTTTCAGTCCAATTTTAATTGAATTTAAAATTTTTATCCTTGTGTTCAGCTTGCTTTGAGGTCCCTGTGCTCCTCCAGTTGCAGCTTCTTGAGCATCCCTCAATTGTAACCTCTCCAGCACTAGGTGGCCGTGCTGGGGCCCCAGACTCTGGAAACCCCTCCTCAAACTCCTCCACTTTCCCCCCTCCTCCTACAACTGAAAGCTACCTTGATGACTGCCCGGATACCTCCCTCATATGTCACATTTTGTTTGATGACTCGTGTGCAGTTTCTTGGGATATTTTACTTCGTTACAGGTGCTACGTAAATGCAAGTTGTTGATTATAGAATCCCTACAGTGTGGAAACAGGCTATCCAGCCCATCAAGTCCACACCAACCCTATGGAAAACAGTGCACCCGGACCCCACCACCCCCAACCCATCTCACCCTATCCCTGTAACCCTGCATCTCCCATGGCTAATCCATCCAGCCTGCACATCCCTGGACTCTATGGGCAATTTAGCATGGCCAATCCGCTCTAACCTGCATATCTTTGGATTGTGGGAGGAAACTGGACCACCCAGAGGAAACCCACGCAGACACGGGGAGAACATGCAAACTCCACACAGACAGTCACCCGAGGAATCAAACTAGGGTCCCAGGCGCTGTGAGGCAGTAGTACTAACTGCTGAGATGATGTATGCTTTGATTTGAACAACAATGTGTTAATGAAATTGCATTTTGTCATTTTAATTCACTAGATTTTGTTAAATATTAGAGGGAAGATTTCCGTACAAGGCATTCTTTGTGTTTGCATGTTTACTATGTGATTGTAACAAACCAGACGTGTCTGTTGGTGTTGGTTTGACTTCCTTGGGTTTAAGTTCAGTCTCCAACTCCCTCAGCAATGTGTCATCAGCATTCAGCATATTTTATTTCATCTTCTTCCACTGGGTGAGGCAGCAGTGCTAACCACTGAGCCACTGTGCCGCCTATTGATGGTAAGACATGTCTTTGTTTCTGTGTCAAGGGGATCCCGTGGCTGCTGTGCGCCTGTGTAACCAGCTGATTTCCCTGGGGGCCGACGTGGGACTCCGCAGTCGCTGGACCAACATGAACGCCCTTCACTACGCTGCTTATTTTGATGTCCCAGAGATAGCTCGGATCCTCCTGAAGGCTCACAAATCGAAAGGTAGTGGATGGACTTCCAACAATCTAACCGCTTCAGTGTTCGGGAGACTGTGAGCCTGGAATTCTGGGTCAATCTTCCTCTCTCTGGTCACGGGGCACTGCAACACCTCGGCAAACTCTGTGGATGATGGTTATTTAGTCGTTACTGATGGGGTTTGAAACTGAAAGCCCCAACTCTTTGTCAATCCAGTGCCAGGGCTCTGTTTTTGTAGAATAACAGAAACGTAATGCGCAGAAGGAGGTTATTCAGTGGTCTTGTCTGTTTTGGCTCTTTGAAAGCACAGTCAGCAAGTAAACGCCCTCACACTGTCTCCTAGTTTCTGGTGCACTTCCTTGAGAGTTATATAATTGTCGTACAATTAAAAATAGGGCCTTGGGTTGTGTTGCAGAACAGAGAGACCTAGGCGTTCAGGTACAGAGTTCTTTGAAGTTTGTGTCACATGTAGGCAGGGTAGTTAAGAAGGTGTTTATCATGCTTGCTCAGACCCTTGAGTATAGAAATTGGGACATCATGTTGAGGCTGTACAGGACGTTGGTGAGACCTCTTCTAGTACTGTTTCTGGTTCTGGTCACCCTGTTATAGGAAGGATATTATTAAAATGGAGAAGGTTCAGAAGAGATTTACCAGGCTGTTGCTGGGAATGGAGGGTTTGAGTTATAAGGAGAGGCTGGATAGGCTGGGACTTTTTTCACTAGAGCATGGGACATTGAGGGGTGACCTTTATTGAGGCTTATAAAATCATGAGGGGTATAGATAAGGTGAATGGCAGGTGTCTTTTCCCTAGGGTGGGGGTTTTCAAATTTAAGGGGAATATTTTTAAGGTGAGAGGAGAACGATTTAAAAAGGACTTGAGGGAATTTTTATTTTATGCAGAGTGGTTCGTGTTTGGAATGAACTTCCAGAGGAAATGGTGGATGTAGGTACAATTACAAAAGATGTTTGGATAAGTTCGTGAATAAGAAATGTTTGGGGGATATGGGCCAAGCGCAGGCAGGTGGGACTAGTTTAGTTTGGGATTATAGTCAGCATGGACTGGTTGGATCGAAGGGTCTGTTTCCGCACTGTATGACTGTTATATGTTGTACAATATTTCCTTAATGCCTCCTTGCTAGCTGCTCGGCTGTTTGAGATATGACTGGTGCTCTAAAAGTGGAAACTTTCAATTTCCTGTCTTTTTTATTTTTTTGCAACGTTTGATCACTGGACTTGGGGTCTGTTTGCTGAAAGTCTGTTCTGTCCCGTGTTTCCACAGTGCTGAACTCCACCTGCAGTGACTTCAACCATGGCACAGCCCTGCACATTGCAGCTTCAAACCTGTGCCTGGGAGCTGTGAAGTGTCTCCTCGAGCATGGGGCTAATCCAGCAGTCAGGGTAAGTGGAGAGCTCTTTGCTCAATTCTGACATTCCCTCTATTCCTCCCTTCCTGAAGGCCCTGGGGCTACACAATTACAGGGGACTGCCATCTTGCACTTCACCAACTGACCTTTCTTCAGGTGGCTATACCTGTCAGATCCTCTTATCTAGCTTCCAAACAGCCCACAGTTGAGGGATTATGTCAAGCAGTGGGAATTCTGGATTTTTTTCCACTCCATCCAATTTTTTTGTTTACCCAGGGAATCCTGAATCCTGTTTCCCTCTGCTGTTTCCCTGGCTTTTTATATTAGATTTGTTGCCATTAGGTCAGAGGCTGCCTACGTACAGGAGTAAATCTGCAGCAAAAACAGAAATTGTTGGAGAAATTCAGTGGGTCTGGCAGCTTCTGTGGAAACAGAGTTAATGTTTCAGCCCGGTCATCATTTTTCAGAACTCGGTCTGCAAAATCTCCTGTGAATCTGCAGGTTTTGCTAAGGTAGAACAGAGCCAAGCTCCAACAAGCCCATTGCTTGTATTTTCAGTACAATATGGTATTTCATTTGGACCTGGTGAACTTGCTCATTACCTTTGTGCCCTTGGACATGGCATGTTTGCCCAGCTTCCCAGGCAGCAGCAGGCGCACGGTGGTTTAGATCTCTTGGGAGATGATGGTGCTGCACTGGTTGACATGGGTCAGATGGAAAGCCTCCCCTGCAGTCTGCTCGCACATACTGTTGATGACCGAGTTCATGAGGCTCATAGCCTCGGACAAGATGTGGGGTCGGGGTGAACCTACTTCATGTACAGAACCTTGACTGGTCACACTCGGCAAATCCAATGTAAAAGCAGCTTGAAACAATCAGGAACTGTAGCATAGTGCAGTGTTGCTGGGCTAGTAAAGCACAGTTAGTGTCCTGACAAACACAAGTTCAAATCCCACTATGTCTGTTGGAGGAATTCAAACCCAATGAATTGGGGTGGCACGGTGGCTCAGTGGTTAGAACTGCTGCCTCACTGTACCAGGGTCCTGAGTTCGATTCCACCCTTGGGCAACAGTCTGTGTGGAGTTTGCGCATTCTCCCCGTGACTGTGTGGGTTTCCTCTGGGTGCTCCGGTTTCCTCCCACAGTCCAAAAGATGTGCTAGGTGGATAGGCCGTGCTAAATTACCCCGTACTGACCAGGGATGAGCAAGTTAGGTGGGTTAGCCAAAGGTAAGTGGAGGGTTACAGGCATGGGGTAAGGGGTGGGTCTGGGTCTGGGTCTGGCCTGCTTTCCACACTGTAGGGATTCTGTGATTCTAATCAGTAAATCTTGGATGAAATCCCATCACTAAAATTATCAGACTGTCATTAAAAGCCTATCTGGTTCTTTAGTTTTCTTCAGGCCAGGAAATCTGCCAACCTTACTCAGTCTGGCCTATGTGTGGTGCCAGACCTACAGCAATGTGGTTAACTCTTAACTACCCCGCAAATGGCTTACAGGGGAAGGGGTAGCTCTGAGTGTACCTGTGCTTCATCACTACCACCTTCTCGATTAGGGGGATGGAAGTAAAGGTTAACCTAGCCAACAATGTCCACATCCTATGAATGTGAAAAATGTGCTCCTTGGCTCAGTATTACACTGTTTTAGTGTTTTTGTTTGGGCTGCTTCTCCAATCCTTGCCGTCCCAATGGTAAGGACTGCACTGCTGCCTCTCTATTGTTCTGACTGTTTAGACTTCTCGTTCTTTTCTCACCGAACAGAATCGGAAAGGACAAGTTCCCGCGGATGTGGTCCCAGATCCTATGGACATGACGCTGGACAAAGCTGAGGCGGCAATGGTTGCTAAGGAACTGAAGCAGCTGCTGCTCGATGCGGTACCTCTGAGCTGTAACCTTCCCAAGGTCACCTTGCCAAACTATGACAACATCCCAGGCAACTTGATGCTCACTTCACTGGGTCTCAAACTAGGGGACCGAGTTGTCGTAGATACAGATAAGGTAATGAGGTATTTTGTAGTGGGCTGACACTCCTTGTAACAACAGTTGTCTAATGTTGACCTTCCAGGTTGGGAGTCCTGTGATGATGCAGTGGCCTTTAAAGTTTAATTTGTCCTGGTCTTTTTTTTTTTGAAGAGTGGTTGTAAGGCCAAGGTGGAGAGCAGTCTGGGGTAACGTAAACTGTCTGGAAGGCCTTGGGTTTTTTTTAATGCAGCCTGAATGGGGGTGGTCAGCTCTCTCAGATCAGAGTTTCTGGGTTTTGGTTTTTTCTGTAGCATCAGAAGTTATTGACAGAGTTGGAAGCTTCAGTGAATGTCTCCTGGCTGCTATTCTCTCTGAATTTTCTCTTGAATTTTTTTCCTTCTGGATTGGAGAACTAAGTGTGAGAATCTGTGTCTAAATTTGCCTTTTTGCCAAGGGGTGTGTTTATGGGATGTTACTATTTTGGAACACTTAATTAGTAATAGTTACAGTATCTAATATTCTGTTAAGTTTTCCAATGAAGTTAGTTATTCTAAGTTCCTCTTTCTTTGGTTGTATTTGTAACTGCAGTGTTAGGGTTAGAAAATGTTAGGGTCTAAGCTACATCCTTGAAGTATTTTGAGGGGGTCTGGTCTGGTTCATAAGTGTGATGGACCAGGAATGGCTTTTATGCTGAGAAACCTAGGTATGGAGCTGAGGCCCATGATCCAGAGAGCAGGGAGGAGGTCAAGTAGCTGTGTGTAATTGTATATTAAAGTGAACGAAGGTCTCATGTAGTGCATTGGTAGTGTTCATACCTCAGGCCTAGGAGCCCCATGTTCAAGAGGGGAGGTGATGGCCTAGTGGTATTATTGCTGGACTGTTAATCCAGAGACCCAGGGAATATCCTGGGGACCCCAGTTTGAATCCAGCTACTGCAGATGGTGGAATTTGAATTCAATAAAAAAAAAAGAGAAAAAAGAAGTCTGAAATTAAGAGTCTAATGATGACCACAAATCCATTGTAAACTGTCAGGAAAAATGCCCTTTAGAGAAAGAAACTGCTATCCTTACCTGGTCTAGTCTACATGTGACTCCAGACTCTCAGCAATATGGTTGCCCTCTGGGCAATTAGGGAAGGGCAATAAATGCTGGCCTAGTCAGCGACACCCTCATCCCATGAATAATAAAGAAAGCTCCCACCTGCTCCAGAGGTGTGTAATAAAATCTCGGAACAGGTTAATTAGAAAATATCTAAGATGAATGAATTGGTTAAGCCTTAGAGAGGTAGGAAGATCTTGAGTTTGACCCATCTCTGTAAAGCATCCTGAAGTACCTCGCAGATGTTTGTGGATCATTTTTCTGTGCATCACAGGTACAGAAGCCATTTTGAGCACAGCAAGGTTCCTCAAGTCCAGTGATTGGATAATCTGGGATTTTGGTCAAGGGAGGAATTTTAATCTTCTAGTGATCGCTGCTCCACACATTGCGGTCTGGGTCACATGCTCAAATTCCGGGGTGGGGGGTTGGATGCCAGAATTTCCTTGCTCAAAAAGGGAGAGGATTTCTGATTAGGTCAAGGTGAATTTGTCATCTACAGTTACTCTGTCACCTCGAACTGTGTGAATCCTGGGAGACTGAAACCTTTGATTTGTTTCTCCACTTGTTCTAGGTTGGAACGCTGCGATTCTGTGGCACCACTGAGTTTGCCAGTGGACAGTGGGTTGGTGTCGAGCTAGATGAGCCCGAAGGGAAGAATGATGGCAGCGTTGGAGGGATAAGCTATTTCATTTGCCCTCCGAAACATGGTGAGAAGAACTTGTTCACTGAGGTTGTCCTGTAGCTGAAGGATTGGTCCTGTTACGATTTTATAGGTTTCTAAGAGATCCTCCCTCATTCTTCTAAACTCCAATGAATACATTCCTGAACAAACCAGTCTCTTTTCATACATTGTTCTTGCCATGCCAGCAATAAGTCACGGAAATCTTCGTTGCATTCCCTCCACCGCCAGAACATCCTGCTTGAGATAAGGAGACCAAAACTGCACACCATACTCTAAATGAGGGCTAACCAAAGCCCTGTACAGTAGCAACAAGATATTCCTGTGCCTGTATTCGAATCCTCTTGCTATGAAAGCCAACATCCCATTTGCCTTCCTCACAGTTTGCTGTACCTGCACGCCTACTTCAAATGATTAGTGTATAAGGGTGCCCAGGTCTTGTCGCACCTCCCTATTCCCAGTCTGCCTCCCTGTTTTTGCTACCAAAGTGGATAACCTCACATTTATCCACATTATACTTCATCCTGCCATGCATTTGCTCACTCAGTCAAGTTGTCTAAATCACACTGAAGCATCTCTGCATTCTCCCCACAGGTCACCCTTCCACCCGGCTATGTAGCATCTGCAAATTTGGAGAAATTACATTTAGTTTCTGCATCTAAGTCATTAATACATATTGTGAATAGCTAGGTTCCATGCACTGATCCTTGCGGTACCCCACTAGTCACTGCCTGCCATTCAGAAAATGACCTGTGTATTCCTACTCTTTATTTTCTTGTTTGCCAGTAAATTCTGTATCCATGTCAGTACACATCCCCCAGTCCCATGTGCTTAATTTTACTCACAAATCTTTTTGTGGGACCGTACTGAAAGCCTTCTGAAAGTCCAAATAAACTGCATTTACTGGCTGCCCCTTCTCAACTCTACTAGTTACATCCTTGAAAAATTCTAATAGATTGGTCAACATGATTTCCCTTTTATAAATCCAAGCTGACAGTGACAGGATTGGACACAGTTTTCCAAGTGCTCGGCTATTAAATCTTTCATAATGGACTCTAGCATTTTTCCCACTATCAATGTCGGGCTAACCTGGCTGTTGTGTTTTTGTTTATTTTTCGTTTTCCAGGTTATTTTTCTCCAGTGTCTAAAATCAGTAAAGTTCTCGATCAGACCCCATCTTCTGTAACCTCGACACCTAAAACACCCAGAATGGATTTCTCTCGAATGACTGGGAAGATGAAGAAAGATAAGAAAGGTATCTTTGTCTCTAATTGAATTTCCTGCAGTTTGTTGAATATTTATACGGTGTTCACCCTTGGTATATTAGCTCGATGCTGTTTGCATATGCACGGGCTGCTGTTAATGTAGTTAATCACATCAGCCAGTTTGTACTCTAGTGAATCCCACGAATGGCAGTGAGATAAAAGACCAGCTAGCCTGTTTTTTTTTGGTTATGAAAACAGTAAATGCAGGGAAAAGGCAGAGATAACGATAGAACTCTGATATCTGATCTCTTCTTTCTCCATAGATGCTGCCAGACCTGCTGAGTTTCTCCAGAATTTTCTGCCATTTATTTCAGACTTCCAGCATCTGCAGTATTTTGCTTCTCTTTGCTTGTTTTGTTATGTGAATTTTGACCACGACCCCACAGAACTCCCCTCCCCTTCAATGGTGGGGGCTGTTGCCCTCATTGATAACAATCACCAACAAGTAATAGTAACTTGGTAACATAATCATTCTTTGCTTGAGGATGGCTTTCTGTTTGGAACAATAATGTTTCCTTGGTTAGTACCTTTGGGCATCAGTTTAAGGAGTCAGCTGAGGGACAGCACCTGTGGCAATGCAGCAGTCTCAGTACTGCATTGGGAGTGTGAACTCGAGGGAGTGCAGTGACTCATTGAGATATAACTGGGCCAGAATGGGAACTTTGCCAAGTTCCAACAACATCGTCCGTTATTCTATCCTGTAGATTAACTTAGGCTTAGACATTTCATGACCATGGTTTGTGAAAGCCGGTGGGATTCTGTTGCAGGAAAATAGGCCTTGCCAGCAGTGCCCGGCATCATTTAAAGTCTCCAATTCATTGCTCACCAAAGTATATTGAAAAGTTGCAATGAGTGGACAGAGAGTGGTCGACATTCAGTGGACTGTTCAAACATTCAGAAACTCCATTTCAGTGTATTTTGCTGTTTGTTAACATTAGTGAAAAGATCAATGACTGAATGAGATGAAGTGGAGTCATAGCCTGTACAATATAATGGAATTTATGGGTGGTTATAAAGCATTGATATTTATCAAGGGTTCACGTGCTGTAGTGTAACGTTGTCACTTTACAGGCAAGATGTATGTGATAACGTTCCTTTAATGTATGCCTAAGTTTAAATCCATCAGCATGTTTGAGTGAATATTCTTTGTGTGAAATTGTTACAGCTATCATTCACTTATTAAGGGAATTTAAACCCCATTGCATACAAACAAGCAAATTAGGAGCAGGAGTAGACCATTCTGTCCCTCAAGCCTGCTCCACCATTCAATAAGATTGTGACTGATCTGATTGTGTCATGAATTCCACATTCTCATCTCAGCCCTGATAACTTGGATTAATGTTCAGCAAGGAGATCAGTCTATCTCCGCGTTCGAAATATGCAATGACCCTGCCTCCGAGGCAGACAGTTCCAAACTCGCACAACCCTCAGAGAGGAAAAAGAAACTTTCTTCATCTCTGTCCTAAAAGGATGACCCCCAATTTTCCTTCTGCTGTGATCCTGGCTCATGTTATTGCTGGACAAGTCAGATCACAGACAGAAATATTGCTTGATAGATCATATTCTGTTTTTTTTCATTTACTAAGGTGGTCTTTCATTGAAATGTAAACATGCAATGCAGCAGATTTGGTTTTGAATAGAAGTTTATTTCACAAAGAAAATGTAGAATAAACCACTCATTTACATATAACACATATTAGAAGATTTTTCTATTTTGGGGTCTTCCCTGATCGTTAATACAATTGAGCTCAGACTCTCTCAGTTTTCAGTGTTCTAACCAAACACTTCTGATATGGAACTTTCAAATGAAAACCCTTGCACTGAAGAAATCTATTTCCTGTTTTGAACTAGCTCCTTTCTCTAGGAGAAACTGTTTTTACATCTAACCTCAGACAGGATGTCTGCAAATTGAAACAAAAGAAAGCTGTCCAATCTATGAGATTCTTCCAGGCCAACAAAGCTTATTTCTTCTAAACTGAAAGCAGGCTAATATTGTCAATGTGTGCTTCCTCTGATCATAAAACTCACAATACAAACAAATTCCCATTATCACTCCAGGAGCCATCTCAGTCTCATTGGTTTTAGAAAAAAAACAGATTTAGAAAGGCTAACAAATGAATGATTAAAAGCCCTCATACACACAGGCCAAAATAATTCACCAGTTCAAATCTAAAATGTAAAATGAACTATTATATATCACACACTTTATCTCATACTGATTACGTTGAGTTTTTCTAAGTCCCCAACTATAACTTCCTTAGTGTCTGTTAATTAATTCATTACGTCCTAGTCAAGATAGGGAGTTGAATAAAATCATTGTCTCACTCAATTTTTAAGCCTCTCAACCAACTGACAATTATTCCAGCAACTTATGATGGTAATTATGTGCAGAGGCTGTCTGTGTAAGTGTCTCCTCACCAGCCAATCACACGCCAATATCCTGTTGTGGTATATTTTTCTTAGATTTCTGGTTCCAAAGGTTTGGCTCCCATCAGAATGACAGATAATTGGCCATAGCCAGCATGGTGGGTCTGTATCTACATATCCATCCCCTCCAGTTTATCCATCTCTCTCTCTCTCTCTCTGTCTTCCCCACCATCCCCCCACCCCTCTTTCTTCTCAGCCTTGAGAAGGAAGTCCCTGTCTGTGGGAAGCCTTGATCGAGAAGGTGCGAAGATTGAGATCGGAGACCAAGTGTTGGTTGCGGGTCAGAAACCAGGAATAATTCGGTACTACGGTAAAACAGATTTTGCTCCAGGTGAGTGAAGTCATTAAGAGATATTTAGAGTGAATTGTGGGCTTTCACTCATGGGACCATAGGACTTAGGAGCACAAGTAGGGCATCTGGTCCTTTGAGCCTGTTCCATCATTCAATAAGACCATTGATCTGAATGTGGTGTCACTCCATTTTCCAGTACGTGTCCTGTAATACTTTTCTCCCTTGTTGATTAGAAATCTGTCAAAATCAGCCTTGAATAAATTGAGTGGCAGCACCTCCACAGTTGGAGAATTCCACAGACTCATGACTTTGTGAGAAACAATTTCTCCTGATCTCCATCTTCTTCTTAAACTGAGTGCTTGTTCTAACCTCCCGTGTTCGAAAAATCAGCTTGCACTGTGTCCAATCCCTTCAGGATCTTTATAAGTTTCAATAAGATCACTTATGAACTTATCACTTACTCCATTGGGTAAAGCCCCAACCTGTTCAAGCTTGCTTTCTTCGAGGTGAGGCAGTGTTATAGTGGTAATGTCACTGGGCTAGCAATCCAGAGCCCCAGGCTAATATTCTGAGGACGTGCATTCGAATCCCACCATGGCAGATGGTGAAACTTGAATTCAATAAAAACCAGTCTGATTCACTAAGGCCCTAATCTGCCATCCTTACCCGGTCTGACCTACATGTGACACCAGACCCATGGCAATGTGGCTAACTTTTAACTGTCCTCTGGGCAATTAGGGTTGGCAACAAATATTGGTCTCACCAATGATGGCCACGTCCTGTGAATGAATAAAACCTGTTAAGGCCTTTAACCCAGGAATTAGTTAATGATGTTACATTGTGGTATCATGGTCCCTACCAGACATTAATAATTAAAACTTGATCATGTAACTGTGTTGCCTTGGAATGTTGCCAAGGAGTAGATAGAGTACTGACTATCCTAGCCCTAGAGAGACTGAATGGTCTGTTCTATAATCACTAAATGAATCTGGGATGTGAATTCAGGCAACCAACCCCACTCACTAAATAAGATTTCTTATCCTACATATCGATTGCCTTTTTTTTAACAAGTTCATGTTCACAGGAACTGATACTTGCTTTTTATTTAAGTTTTATTTAATTAATTGAATTTAAATTTATAAACCGGTGGAGTTGAAACCACATGTCCAGGGTATTAGTGCTCCCTTTGGATTACTAGTTCAGTTCAGAACTGTTCACCCTTTCAGACCTCTAGACAACAATGAGGAGTGCCATAAGCTCCACCAACTATGATGGTGTCATCATGTGGTCTTGATGACAGAACAGCTTAGGTTCTTGAAGAACTGAGCCCTAACCTCTGATCCTCCTCAAAGTCCCTGTAGATATTTTCTAATCATCCTGTTCAAGATGGTATTACATACCTCTGGAGCAACTGGAGTCTGGGTTTCCTGTCTGAGAGATAGGAACGCTGCCACAAGAATCCCCAAAGTCTGTCACAATGTCCTACATTGTCTATTACATCAAACTAACTTGTTACTAGTTGTTATCATGCAGAAAACCATACCTTGTTAAGTACAAGGGACCCTCTGGTCAGACCAGGAAGTGGTGTTCCCCTCTCGTAATGGGCCGAGCAGGTGCTGCAATCTCCAAAACTTTAAAGAGTTTGGTACCAGCTTTCTTCATGCGGGGCAGCTATTCATACAGTGTAGAGAGCTATCCCTGCCCAAAGGGCAAGACCTCAATGAGCTGGGTCACTACTGGCACAAGAATAAACTCAACATCACTTTCTGGAGGGCACGTAAGGATGGGCAATAAATGCTGGCCTAGCTGGTGATGTCCACGTCGCATGAGTTAATTTTTAATATGATATGGATATCATTAAAGAGATAGTGGATTACTTGAGTTAATCCACAGAGAAATTACCCTCTCTTCCGCCCCCCCACCCCCCACCCGCCAGCCAAGTGAATAGTGATTGCTTCATGACTGGCATTTACGTCTTGTTTAATGTCCAATCTTGTCCTTAAGTATCAAGAACAAAGGAGCCAGGATGAAGAACAGTTAGTTCTGGCAACCACTTCATCTGCTGAGAGGCCATGAGACTTGAACCATTAATCCTCCTTTCTCCTGATCCGCTGAATGTTTCCAGCATTTTTCTGAGTTCTATTTTTTTTTTTTTCTGGGGCTTTAGACAGACAGTAATCTGCTGCCTGTTCTCTGTTGGTTATTCACACCATGTCAATTGTTTCCTTCGCAGGGTATTGGTACGGTATTGAGCTGGACAAGGCGACTGGGAAGCACGATGGCTCAGTGTTTGGTGTCCGATACTACACCTGCTCTCCAAAATACGGGGTATTTGCTCCTCCTTCCAGGGTGCAGAGGTAACTTTCAGCAGTCATTGTTTTGTGTGTCTAGAGATTTATGGGGCCTGTGGATCGCAGGCTAATTTAAGACGCTCTTGATTACATATAGGGTTTGATATTTTTGTTTCTTTTTCCAGCTGAGGGATTGGCTTTCATTGACTCTGATCATAAAGACCTTCCTGACAGAACCTAAAACAGTTCTGACTACTTCTGATGTCCTACCTTGACAGTATCACATGCAGCTCAGCGCCTTGTGAATCACTGTAGAGTCTGTTAGCGACCAGTTAGAGAAGTGCCTGAAAGTCTTATTGTCCATTGTGGGCAGACCTAACAAAGACTCTCAACGCTCCATTCCAACAACATACAGACCAGGGAACTGCAGAAAATTAGCACAGCTTGTCCCCATGTGTCATTGTTGGGAGGTGTATTAAATGAACAATATTTTTCTTCTTTCTATGCTGTAGGATTGCTGGGCCCAAAGGACCCCCGGGTGATGGGACCATTGGCAAAAAAATTCACCAAGTAACAAGTAAGTTGAGATGACATCACTCATGTAAAAAAGAAACTGATTTATTATTAAAAGAAGAGAATTGTGCAACTCGGAAGGCAGCCGTTTGGCCCATCATTCCTGCGTTGGCTTGCTGAAAGAGTGATCCTGTTTGTCTCAGTCCCCTAGTCTTTCACTGCAACTTTCAAATGTTAAAATGGGGGAAGGAAGCCTGAGGATTGTGAAAGGGAAAGGGTTCCACAGCTCTGGGATCCTCAGGAATGGGTAAGAGATTGCACAATGAATCTTAATTTTCATGCAAAGAGGATGCAGAGAATTTGAGACTGGCAGTTATGTGGATTGGATTCTACACTGTTTTGCGTTCTTGAGTCACACCACTGAACGCTGGGTGGACCACATCAAAACATTATAAAAGATCCTTTATGGTCACTTGAAAAGCAGCTTTGATATGCTCGGAATGAAATGAATTGGAACCCAAATTCCAGGATAACAGAGAAATGTACTGACCCATTGCCCCAGTTCTGTATTTGAGTAAAACTCAAAACATTTATCACAAGTGACAGGTACTTGCAGTAAGATTTGGATCAGTGCTAATGTGCGTGTTGTAGCACTGGATTGATTTTGGTCTCCACCTTTTTGTTTCCACAGTGACTCAACCCAAGAGAAATTTAGCAGCTGTGAGGACTCCCAAAGACATTGCATCAGAGAGTTCCATATCCAGGTAATGTGTTGTTCTGTATTGGCCAAGTATCCTGTGTCCATCTTATAAACAAGAAGGGATAGAATAGAGAAGTACTTATTTTTTTTGCAAGGTGGAGAAAAGTGCTACCCACCTGCTTTTTTTTCTCCTTCCTGACCTTGTGGCCTAATATTTCAATGTTAGACAGGAACACATCACTCGGTAAAACAGCTCCGTCCAGTCATTTCTCTTTCCTGTAACTCAGCCTCCTTTGAATCTCTTTCGTCGCTTGTCTCTTCACTCCTCCAAGCCATGTTCTCGCTCCCCTTAGATCTGAATTTGGGGCACTTTGAACAGCCAATGGAATGAGCTCCTTGTGATCAGCCATGCTAATTTGGAACAAAAACAAAGTTGCTGGAAAAGCTCAGCAGGTCTGGCAGCATCTGTGAAGGAGAAAACAGAGTTAACGTTTCAGGTCTGGTGACCCTTCCTCAGAACCTTCCCCAGTTTTGGGTCACCGGGCCTGTTCGATGTGAGGCCTTGTTTAGAATCTGTTTGTGTTTTAGTTTGGAGTCAGACTGGTTTTATTTCTGAAGTAGGAATTTCTAAAACACCATATTGACTGTTTATAAATTGTGTACTTTTTGAACAAAATAGTATGTATCTGCAAATACAAATTCACCCCATAGATTCGCGTGTGTGTGTGTGTGTGTGTGTGTGTGTGTGTGTGTGTGCATGTGCGATAGAGAGAGAGTGTACGGTGTGGTGGGGTCATCCGCAGTGCACCATGAACCCAAGATCCCAGTTGAGACCGTCCTCATAGGCACCAAATTTGGCTATCAGTCTCTGCTCGGCGACTCTGCATTGTTGTTTATCCCGAAGTTCGCCTTGAAGAATGTTTGCCTGAAGATCCGAGGCCAAATGTCCTTGACTGCTGAAGTGTTCCCCCATTTTGTTGCACGGTGTCCATTCACCCATTGTCGTAGTTTGTGCATGGTCTCGCCAATATACCATGCTTTCCCGCACTGTATGAGATAGACAACGTTGGCTGAGTCACATGAGTATCTGCCGTGCGCGTGGGTGGTGTTCCCACGTGTGATGGTAGTAGCCATGTCGAAGATCTGACATGTCTTGCAGAGGTTACCATGATAGGGTTGTATGGTGTCGTGGTAGATGTTGTCCTGAAGGCTGGGTAGTTTGCTGCGAAAAATCGTATGTTTAAGGTTTGGCAGTTGTTTGAAGGTGAGAAGTGGAGGCGTTGGGGGAAGATCTTGGTGAGGTGCTTATCATCATTGATAATGTGTTGAAGGCTGTGAACAACATAGCGTAGTTTCTCCGTGCCCGGGAAGTACTCAATGACGAAGGGCACCCTATCGGATATGTCCCATGTCTGTCTTCTGAGGAGGTCATTGTGGCACATGGGAACTGGCAATCGATGAGTTGAACATTGTATCCCATTCTCCGATTCCTCGCCATGAGTCCAAAGGAAGAAAATGTCATCAATGTATCTGGTCTATAGTGTTGGTCGCGCACGCACATGCACACACACATGAATCTATGGGGTGAATTTGTATTTGCAGATACATACTATTTTGTTTAAAAAGCACACAATTTATAAACAGTCAGTCAATATGGCATTTTATAAATTACTGCTTTAGAAATAAAACCAGCCTGATTCCAAACTAAAACACAGATTCTAAACAAGGTCTCACACCTAACATGCATTGTCTGACCTAAAATGTCACCTCTTCTTTACACTGATAAAACCTTTAGTTCTCTCAGGACCGTGAATTGTAAGGAATTCAGGATTTACATTACATATTAATCAATTAAAACCTTCTAACTGATTAAAGATTTAACAGCATCTTAGATTTGTTTAATACATCCTCATCAATGGTGTGAACCTTTGATCTTTTACTTATAAATTCTGTGTCTGATATTACCTCTCTCACTAACACCTGAAGGAGGACTGAGGCTCTGAAAGCTTGTGATTTCAAATAAACCTGGTGTCATGTGTTTTCTGATATTACCTCCCTGGATTAATCGTCCAGCGATTAATACCACTAGGTTATTGTCTCCCCAGAGGGTCACGGTGTGGAAAGGGATGTGAAGTGCTGTTACGAATTGTACATATTCCTGCGACTTTTACTCAGCACATAGGCTTATTCTTATGCTTAAACAACCTTTGCTCATGCCCATTCCCTCATCAGGAGTCACTGGTTCCAGTCAACAGTGGGAGACTCCTATATTTTCAGCCTCACTGCGGTGCTGAGGCCAAAAGATACCAGTTACAGCCGCATTGGATGGGTTAGCTCAGAGGCTGGGAACTTGCTATCGAATTCTGCTTGTATATTTCTTGGATGTAAGTTGTATGGGTGAATGGGCAGAAAATAAAAAATTGCATCAAATAATAACAGAAAATGCTGGAATTACTCGTATGGCAGCCACTGTGAAAAGACTAACAGGGTCAGAGTTTTGAATTGATGACCTTTCTTTAGAACTGGAGAAAGAAAGATAGAAGCACCAAAGGGGATGTCAATGTCAAGAAACAAAATATGTTGAGTTGAGGTGTGAATGACTAGAAGGTCGCTGGCCAAATGAAAATTGGAGATATAAAGAACGCATCAAAATATGAAACCGTGACAAAGAAACTATGAAGCAAAATGGAAAGAATTCCCAACATCGTCTGTTGTATTTTAGATTTACAGCATCTTAGATTTTTTTGCTCTTAAAGAGTTCCTTTAATCTTTAATAATATTGGTCGTCCTAAATATCAATTACAGAATTGTTAGTACTTCTCTGTGTAACATGGGCATGTCTGTTGCAGAACTTTTCGTCTACCTGTTTGAAATGGAAAAGAGACCTTCTCCACATTGCACAACAAATAGGTTCAACTCTGTAACAGTTTCTTATGCAACAGGTTCCTAGGGTAATGGAAAGTTACAGAGTTGAGTTACAATTTAAATGTCTTTGCATCCGGGTTAGGGGAATGCAGAGATAACTTAGAGTCATACAGCATATAAACAGACCCTTTGGCCCAACTTGTCCATGCTGACCAGGTTTCCTAAACAAGACTTGTCCTATTTTCTTGCATTTGGACCGTATCCCTCTAAACCTTTCCTGTCTATGTACCCGTCCAAATGTCTTTTAAATGTTGTTATTGTAACCACCTCTACCGTTTCCTCAGGCAACTCATTCCATACACACACCACCCTCTGCATGAAAAAGTTGTCCTTCAGGTCCATTTAAATCTTTCCCCTCTCACCTTAAAGCTCTGCCTTCAGTTTTGGACTCCCATACCCTGGGAGGTAAACACCTTGGCTGTTCACTTTATCTGTGCCCCTCATGATCTTCTGAACCCCAAAGCCACCTCTCAGCTTCCTACGCTCCAAAGAAAAATGTCCCAGCCTATCCAGCCTCTCTTTATAATGTCCTGGTAAGTCTTTTTTTTGTAAATATTTCAAAACTGCTAAGTAAGGCTGGAGATGCAACTTGCTAAATGAGAAGAGAAACATTAGCCTTTTATGTTAACCCACTTTGAAAGGTGATTTTTAAGAGAGAAAGCAAAGATACATAAAATTTGAACTGAGTTTATGTTTGATTACCAACACTTTGATTCCCAACACTTTGATTCTGAACAATATCTTGTTGTTCCAAGATGTGACATCTCACTGTGAATCATTGCAGGCTGATTAATTCTTGAGTGACAGCTGGCACTGGCCTTGTCCGTGCGTTCAAACTGGTTTTGAATTCAAGTGGATTTTGAAGGGAGGTGTTGCCACAAAGATGGTTTATTTTGAATTCAGCCAATTTCTGGTTGCCAACCAGAAATACCTGAACCTAAATAAAGCAGGTTTCCAGCCTTTCTCCGAGATTTATTACAGGTCACTTCAAGTCAGTAATTCATCAGCACAGGCTGAGAGATGTTAACCACAGAGATATTAACTGCCATCATGTTGGATAGACTATTGCTGTTGGTAACAGCTTCCGGAAGTTTCTAAGTTGCTGAGACTGTTTGTCTTTCCTTTCCTTCTTATTCCAGCACTGTTCCTAGAGAGCAGCCACTCTAACCCCCTGGTTTGACTCACCTTTTTACAGATCAGTGAGTGATGTTTGCTCACTAATTCACTGGTCAGTGTGTCTAGGGAAATCATTATAGAGAAGGTAAAACATCTCATTATTTCACTTTAAGTGATCTCCAATATTCTGGTTCAGCATGATTATTGTTCTCCAAAGGACAACATATTTTGCACTTTTTAGCCCATTTTCAACACTCAACCTTTAAGATGTTGAATCCAGGCCAGCAGCCAGGTGCAGTGTCCCAGTCCTGGGCCTGGGAGGGGATTCTTGCTCCTGACAGTTGCCCTATGGTTAATCTGTTCCTATGAAGGTCTGGTGAGGACAGGGTTTGAGTGTGAAGCCTCATAGATCACCAGCTCGTCACCACAATCATGGTCTCGGTTGAGGTTGGCCAGTTTGAGTGAGGTAAACGGAGGACAGGGATCGAACTTAATGGCTATAAGTGTGGACAGGAAAATGAGAGAAAATTGGGGAAGGAATCAGAAGGTTCAGTCAACTCACACTGCTGCGCAGGATCATCACTTCCATGTTGATGAGGTGAAGGCTGTAATCCAAGTTCCCATGAAATATAACAAGTTCCTGGAGCATTGCAGGGCAAAGGCCAGGGCACTTCCTGCTCCTGTGGACCAAGTTTTGATACATCTCTTAGGTTGTTTCTCTATGCCTGTCATTATTTTGGGAAACTGTTCCCTTGTTGTTCAGAGATTGATGATATAAATTAACCCTTTGAAGGCCTGAGGATTCACAATACTGTCTTCTGATGCCCACTGCTCTTTTCAGAATTTCACAATAATGTCACCGATAGTTGTATTCCACTGGGTCATTATAAAATGATAAAAAGCCAGTACTGTTTACTTTAAAAAAGACATGTGGAATTTAAAGGGTTAATTGAAAGAGTTTCTCATCATCAGCCACCTTCTGAAATCAAACATTTAGCACAACATTTAGAACTTTATTCTCTC